GATAAATTTTAGTCAATTTCTAAATAAAATACTATTAAATATAATCTGATTGAAAGCTATAATCAAATCGATAATTAATATAAAAAGATACGAAACAATAGGACTTAAATGATATAATAAAGTACTAAAAACTTGATGCAAAGCAGTAAACGTGTGAAAAATAATTGGCAAACATTTGAAACATAATTGTGTTTTGAATAGAAATGTATAAAACATTTAAATCCAAAGCAAACCAAATAAAAGCTGAATTCAAGTGTATATAAAATGACATTTTTTACAGTGAATTCATAAAATGGATTCATTTGACAATTCATTGAATCTCTAGATTCTGTTATCTCCGCAACAGATGTCCATTAGAGAGGTTAAGATTGGAACCGACTTCGAGTTCGAGTTCGACGAGAAGTGGGAAGTGATCGGAGGGGATGTGTTGGTGCGGACAACCGGCCACCTTATTCTCGCGCAGCCATTCCGGGTCTAATGGACCCAAAAGTCCCAAAACTGATAAATGGCTTTTCGAATAGAATATGTAATCGATTACACCCTTGAAGTCAAACCTAGAATTCAATCAATCAATACATTGTTTAATACTATGAATGAGTCATTAGAAAGAGTTAACTCACGTATAGTTAGTGAAGGGCATAACGTCGTCGCTGTAAGCCCTGGAAATCTTGAATGGATGCGTGTATTCACTCGACCTCTCACTGGCTGTCAGTTTCCGTAAACAGTCTTTATATCCGAGTTCTTTGAAGTCCTGATGGTCTGAGGAAATACGTCCCGAACTCAAGAAGTCAACCACTCCTGAGTCGGGCAATGAATTCAAGTCTCCACACAGAATGAGTGGAACACTATTGGCGTCTGCCTTCTGGGCTCCGGGTCTGAAACTATGGGCCGAGTCCTCGACGATAGACCTGAGCTCATGCATCAACATAATTGTCTGAATCAACTTCACGTCACAAAACTCTGGGTCCCAATGTATGTGCGCCGTACAGACCAACAACGGGTGGTGTGCCTGAGACGGGTCTGACAGCATACCTGTTCAATAGGCAATCCATCAGTTATAAGTAATTAAAGCATAGATTGGGATCAATACCCGACTCGAATGCGCCCTCTTTGGTCTGCAAGAGTGCGGCCAAACCGATGTTGTCTTTAGTCATAACACGATTCAACATATCGTCCGATCCCTCGGCGTTAGCCATCGCTAACTGATTGAATTCAACCAAATGTTCTTTAATTAAACTGAATCTAAAACATAACAATTAATATCTCAGTAAATGTCCAAAAATCAAATTTATTTGCAATTATTTACTTATTAGTCCTGAAAAATATAGCGCATCCGTCGACATGTCTTCTGTCCGCCTCAGCCATTGTTTTAGCCCTGGATTTGGGCGAAAAGATGCCGTCATATCCCTGTTCTCTGAGTTCGGGCAGAAAGAAGTTGTAGAACTGATCGGTTTCTACTTCTTGTAGTGATATAATGTCCGCCGAATAGTGACGGATCTCATCGATGATGGCTTTCTTTCTGTAGTCCCATTGAAGCGCCCAATTTGGACAATAGCCGTACAGCTGTCGAGTCGCCAACTTATCACACAATACGTTATAACACATGACTGTGAAAATACTGGTCAATCGACTTCTGTCCGGATGACCAGAAGGAATCCATGGCCTGTTCGGGGGTCGAGAGGCCGTCACTACACATAACAATAATTATGCAATCATTAAATTTATTATTTACCAAAAAAATAAATTATAAAATTTAATATTATAACGTTATTTAATATATTCATGCATTTATTAAACGTCAAAAGGGCTATAAATTTATTTAATTAAAGAATGTTTTAATCATATCCACACAAAAAACAAGTATTTTCTAAATTTATGATTATTAACATAAAAACAAAAAATAAAAACGAAAGCAAAAGCAGTGAAAAGTTAATTTCAAGTTCTATACAGAAGTCATAATAAATGATAATATAATGATTTGCTTTCAAACACTTCTATAAAGAGTTCATTTAATGTCTGATTATTAGAGTTAATGTTATAACGAAGAAGAAGAGCGACAATCAAATGAAAGTAATTTAAATTAAATTCTCCCAAATTTATATAATTATGTAAATTATGGCTTAATTTTTGATACCTTATTCGCAATGAATGACTCTATTTATGAGCGAAAGAGACTATCATTTAAGAGAATTTAATGCAAATTAAGGTGAAAAACAAGTTCAGCATTTGGTGTCTAATAATGGTTGTAATGAATGGACACAAATATCTCAAATAAATTAAACCCAAGAATGTTATCATCACATGATTTAAGTCACAAAATTTCATTGCACTTCTTTTTGAACCTCTTTTCCAATTAGCTTTCAATCGTTTTCTAGATTTTCATTACTTTTATATTAAGTATTCACTCAAATGTTTGGATTCTTGCAAACAAAATAAAACAAAGTTTCCTTTAAAAATAATTCAATTTTAACGTAACAAAAGACTATTACTTAATAATAATAAGTATTCTGTGGATATATTGTGGAGACATATAAGAGATTTATATTATAGTACTGTATAATAGACGGTTCCGTTGAGAGTAAGTTATCCTTAAGACAACATACAGTATAGTATACAACACTAAAGTAATAATAATAAGGAAAATATTATATTTTAAATGTTTTCATTTTTGAACAAAACTGTCAAATAATTGGATGACTTATAACAAAGAATTCGTGTAATTCTTCTTTCATTTTGTTTATCATTCGTTGAAATAAATATAATTTTTGTTTACAAGACATTTGACAACTGATAACAAAACTAACAAAAAACCTCCAAAGAGTGTTAAACTCTTCTCTACAATAATACTCAATCAAAACGGCTTTCTTATGAAAACCAAAGCAATTCAATAAATGTTGTGTTATTTTCAAATATATTTTTTGTTTGTTTTTTCCGTGAAATTGAGGAATTGATGCGAAAGACACGAAAGCTTTAATACATATAAAAACATAGTATATTTAAGTCCAAAACTTGTAAATCGTTCAGAAATTTAACTTTGAAAACATACACAACATGTTTGAACGTAAAAACATAATAAAAAATGCTTTTTCATGTAATAATCCGGAAAAAATATATTTACATTTAAAATCCACTTTAAATCATAGAATTTGAATGACTTTTAATTATAAGAACTTCAATANTTCAATTCGTTTAAGTTATGAGAACTGATTATAATTTACTTTTAAAGCATTTTCTTATTAGCTCTCGTTTATGTCATTTGTTTCATGACTTATTGTTTAACCGATTAATAGATTTTTGAATTATTGCTAAAAACAATAGCTTTCCTAAACTCACCGGTAGTTCACAGTTAATGGTTTAAGCAGTAAATAACAATGTTTTATCACTTTAAATACAAACAAAAACTCACTGTACACTTAAATAAGTCAGTTTTAATTAAAGCAAACAAAAACCGTTTTATAATAAATAATAAACTTATTCTTCAGCATAAGCTTCACATTAGAGTCAACAGAATCTGCGCTAATATTTCATATAAATACAAATGAGAGTCTATTTGCACTCAAATGACCCGAACAACAGACCAGACTCTCATATCTTCATAGAAATTATTGTATGAAATAATAGCAAAATTTTTATAATCTTTAAATCCCTACTAATTTCGGGACAATATTATTGAACACAAATCTTACGTAAAATTGATTTTAAAAGCTTTTACGAAGTCTTTTAAAAGTTTTTGTTATTGAAGTTCTTATAATTAAAAGTCATTCAAATTCTATGATTTAAAGTGGATTTTAAATGTAAATATATTTTTTCCGGATTATTACATGAAAAAGCATTTTTTATTATGTTTTTACGTTCAAACATGTTGTGTATGTTTTCAAAGTTAAATTTCTGAACGATTTACAAGTTTTGGACTTAAATATACTATGTTTTTATATGTATTAAAGCTTTCGTGTCTTTCGCATCAATTCCTCAATTTCACGGAAAAAACAAACAAAAAATATATTTGAAAATAACACAACATTTATTGAATTGCTTTGGTTTTCATAAGAAAGCCGTTTTGATTGAGTATTATTGTAGAGAAGAGTTTAACACTCTTTGGAGGTTTTTTGTTAGTTTTGTTATCAGTTGTCAAATGTCTTGTAAACAAAAATTATATTTATTTCAACGAATGATAAACAAAATGAAAGAAGAATTACACGAATTCTTTGTTATAAGTCATCCAATTATTTGACAGTTTTGTTCAAAAATGAAAACATTTAAAATACTGTATAATATTTTCCTTATTATTATTACTTTAGTGTTGTATACTGTATGTTGTCTTAAGGATAACTTACTCTCAACGCAACCGTCTATTATACAGTACTATAATATAAATCTCTTATATGAGCGACCGGGACGTGAAAAAACGTCCAATTTTAGTGTTACTGCTTATGCTATAGCAAACACAGCACATAAGCAGTAACACTAAAATTGGACGTTTATTCACGTCCCGGTCGCTCATATGTCTCCACAATATATCCACAGAATACTTATTATTATTAAGTAATAGTCTTTTGTTACGTTAAAATTGAATTATTTTTAAAGGAAACTTTGTTTTGTTTTGTTTGCAAGAATCCAAACATTTGAGTGAATACTTAATATAAAAGTAATGAAAATCTAGAAAAACGATTGAAAGCTAATTGGAAAAGAGGTTCAAAAAGAAGTGCAATGAAATTTTGTGACTTAAATCATGTGATGATAACATTCTTGGGTTTAATTTATTTGAGATATTTGTGTCCATTCATTACA